CATTAGATCTGAGGATGGACCCAGATACATGAATTCTGAAAAATGCTCACCAGTTGAGTCTGCGTTATGGACTGAATTGTGCCCCCCCCCAAAACTCATATATTGAAACCCTAACTTTCATGTGAGTGTATTTGGAGATAGGGCATTTAGGGAAGTAATTAAGGTTAAATGAGATCATAAGTCCTAATCCCATATGACTGGAGACATAATAAGAAGAGGAAGAGACACAGGCGATCTTTGTCTACAAGGCAGGAAGAGAGGCCTCACCAGAAACCAATACTTAAGGCACCTTGATCTTGGACTTCTAGCCTCTAGAACTATAAGAATATCAATTTTGTTCCTTAAGCCACCAGTCTGTGGCGTTCTGTTATGGCAGCCCTAGCAGCTCATACCATCTGATTATCTGTGCCCACGTCCACCCCCACTGAGAAGCTCTGCACCAGACTCTCTGGAACTCGTTTTTTTTTTTCTTTCTCCCCAAAGCCCCCAGTACATAGTTGTAAATTCTAGTTGCAGGTCCTTCTAGTTCTGCTATGTGGGACGCCGCCCCAGCAAGGTTTGAGGAACGGTGCTAGGTCTGCATCCAGGACCCCAACCGGCACAACCCTGGCCTCTGAAGCTCAGCACAAGAACTCAAGTACTTGGCCATGGGCCAGCCCTGCTTTTGAACTCTTAAAAACTGTAACCACAACGGGAACCCCCAACTTTGAGTCACTAGAGAATATCGTGAAAACCTATATTGCTGTAAAATCATACTCTAAATTTGCCTGGGCCTTGAATAACATTTTGTTTATCCCTTGCTTATCCTTCAGTTTCTGCCCCTTCCAGCTCTTAGCCTTTCTCGATTCTGGCTGATGACCACAAGCACCTATTATTACATAAGGAATATTAATATACATAAGGACATTTATGTACCTATATAATCTTTCCTCTAAACTTCAATTTTTACTCTTCCGTCCCACTCTTTTTTTTTTTTTTTTTTTTTTTGCCTTTTGCCTCTACATCAGAAAAAGAGATAGTCCTTTTTCTTTCGAAGGCGAATCCCTTCCGTTTGTTTCAGATCCTCCCTTCTCCCAACTCTGCGCCCACTCCCCAGCATTTTCAGCTTTTTCCCTTGACCTCTCCCTCAAAAAATTGGCTCTCAGTTATTTGGTTTTGGATGGCTGGTAAATTGGCTTCTTTTCAATATTTCTATATGGAAGGAAAAAAATGACCCTGAAAAAAGTTCCCTCAGGTCACCAGAATAAAAGAAAAAGGCAGGGGATATAAATTTAGAATTCATCATCAGAGAGGAGATAGTTCATTTATTCATTCATTCATTTCAAAGTAATTTTACTTTAAGCGCCTATTATGGGCCAAGCCCTTTTAGGCCTGGCATGTATAAGTGTTTAATAAAAGTTTCTACGTATAAATGAATAGATGAACTATCACTTTGATGTTAATGTCTTCTAAATAGGCATCTTCTTCGTTTTCCTACCTTAGTAAGCCGAGAGGCCATTTGTTAGGATCAACAAATGGTTGATGAAAAATGAATAAGATCATCCTTATCCTCAAGAGACTGAAGGCGTAAAAATGGGTGAACTTTCTAGAAGTTAAGATAAAAAGAAATGCTCAAGTGTAAATACTTTGTATTGTAAATAGCCAAGGAAAGAGAAAGAAGAACTAGTGAAGAAACCAACAAAAGAATATTATGACAGGGGGGGAACGAGAGCCAGTGAGGTGCATCAGAACCACCTAAAGGGACTGTCAAAAATGTGGATCTGCTGGCTCCACTCCACACAGACTCGACCAGAAGCTCTGCCAGTGTGGCCCCAGGAATCTGCATTGCTAAGCTCACACAGGTGATTCTTCTGTATGTTCTAACGTCATGAAAAACAAAGGAAGAGTTTCAAAGAAAAGGTGGGCAACAATGAAAAATTATATAAAAATGTAAACACTAAAAAATATGAAAAATGTAAGATTCACCACAAATGAGAGAAAATCCTGCTGATTTTCCTATTTTTAAACTAAAAAGATATTGAAGTAAGCATACCCCGTGGATGGTGGAGCAGAAAGCTGTGAACCTGGATCCTTGATGGCTGCGTTCAGCAGCTGAATCAACCATAACATCACCTGCCTCCGGACTTCCAATGTGAGAAAAATAAACCCCTTTTAATTAAAGTAAGAGTGTATATTCTTGTTTGCAGTAAATTTACTTGGTAATAACGGGTAAAGAATGAATGCTTGTGAATAGTAATGACAACACTTATTGAGTGTTTACTACACATCAAGCACTTTAAGAGCTTTATACAAATATCTCACCAAATCCCCATCACAACCCTATGATACAGCATAACTCACCATTACTAATAGGAAAATAAATGAGCTCCACTTACGGACATGCAGCGTACCAAAGGTAGTAAATGGATGTCTCATGGATAATGAAAGGATAGGAAAATGGATGTGGTCAACTTGTTAATTCCCAAGTACTTTTCCTGGCATTTCTACTGCCTATCTTCTTTTGCATTAATTTAAATCCTATATATCTTTCGTGGCACAAGGTAAGTCCAAATCCTCTGTTAGGAAATCTCTCTTAACAACATTTAAGTATGAGCTTTCCCTTTTTTGATTCTCTGGAATTCAGATTTAGGACCATACTCTATGACCTAGATTATACAACATTTGAAGTAGAAAAAATGCCTTATTCTAGAAGAGTACAGGGTGTTAAATAATTCCTGTCAAACGATGACATCTAACCATTTTACATTTTTCACCTATAAAAATTTTCCATAATGTGACTTGAAAATTCTTATTTTAGGCTTACCTGTAATCATACTTCATTTAATTGAGCAAATGTAATTAATTTGTTACTAATAGATAAGAGTTCTCTGTGGTTTCCAGCTTGGTAATGTTTCTCTTGACATCTCTCTCTGGTGATCTAGGTTAATGGAAATTTGCGAACGTGTACAATTGCTTTTTATGAAGCACTGAATATTCTTCCACTCCTGCCTCCCTACATGTGTCAGTTCTCCTTAGCATTCTGCAATGATCAAAACTGACATATTCACATATGTGTAAATGTCTATTTGGGGAAATGATATGGTTTTAAAAATGTTGTTGCTGTTATGTTATGTCGCTGTTGGCATGTCTTTATTTTGTCCTGTTGCTAGACACATGTTGACAATTCTTGAGGGAATAAAGATTCTACTGTTTCCCTTTACATTTAATTACATTGAGAACTTTAGAAAACTGTCTCCATGAGTTATACATGATTAGTTCATGTTGAGTTGATCAACTTATCAGAAAAGATGTCAATAGTTTAGATTTAATCCACTAAAAGGAATATACTTTAATATTTTGCAGAATACATTATTTTGAACGCATGACCCATCTTCAATGTTAACATCTCAAATAGTAACTTGCCATTGGATTTAAACATCTTTATACATTTTGCATTGTAACTAAAAAAGATATTTAAAGCATATTACAACGACTTTGTAAGATTAAGTATTTCAACATAAATTGCATTATTATGTTGTTCTTATGCAATGATGTATCTCTGGATCAATTAAATCCACGGGATAAGTAGGGTCTACGATTAAGAGGATATGGTTATATCATACATAGTGGCATCTTTGAATTCAAGTAGTTCCATTTTTTAGGAAATGCTAATTAAGCAATCAAATATTTTCTTGGTTTTTACATAGAGAATATGCCATTAAGGAGATCTGCATACTAAATCTTTGGGAGAAAAAGAATGAATTTCAAAGGTAATGTGTGCAACTATTTCTATATTGCTTTCAGCCTTTATTTGCTATTTGAAGAATGAAAATATAAAAACCAAACTACACAGTACAATTATCTTGACTATAACAGTAACAGTACATTACTGTATGTGACTCACATTTCATTAAAATGCATATAAATATGTTCTGGGATAAATATGTATATAATCTCCATAAATGAAAACTATTGAAACCATGTTCTAAAATGAAGATGTTGAGTAGTTTTTCATGACCACAACACTATAAGAGCATATATTTTATTTTGAACTGCAACAAACCCACAAAGTGAATAGATTCTAGTTTAACCTATTATCCGTTTTGCTAGTGTACTATAGCAATGATTCATATATTACTTTAATGTCAAATTCTTGATTAAAGTGGAATATGTAATTCAATTTTCTATTGCAACTTCCTTGGAGGGAAAGTTGGACAAAAGCCAATGATACTTAAATGTCTCTAAGCCGTTTTGAAAAGTTAATCTGTTCTTCTGTTAAGAAGTTTTGAAATAACGTCAGGAAAGGCTATTGTACCACATCAACCAATTCCTTCACAGGGATTAAAGAGAGGAAAAACAGTGTCACTCTGCCCACTGTTAATTTTGCACATCTAAGCGCAGCTCAAAAGGTTGGTAATGCCTGACCTGGTAAGATACGCAAATTGATAAAAATTTATTTTCAACAGGGTTAACTTGGAGTTTTTTGCTTTTTAAACTTTTTACATATTTTGTTTCGAAGCCTTTACAAATATTCAAAAATAAATGCTACCAGAGAGCGAACACACATAATAAAGTCCTTCCTATTGCCTGCATGCTTTTAAGACGACGTTACATATACTGATTTTTCCAGTCCTGGAGTTAAGAGAAAGGAGAAGAGTCTGCAGAACTTATCTTTCTGTTCTGATTAAGCGGTGTTGAAAACAACATTGACAAGGTCTCTGAACGAGCGGAGATGGTTAGTTCAAATAGAGCCAATCAGATGAAGATGGAGAACAGTGTCTTAGGTAAGGCACAAATCTTTCCATAGGTGCATCCGTGTGTGTAGGAAGGAGAAACCGTTTTATTTTTAAAGTAGCTGTCACTACGGGTGTTTTTTGTTTTTTTAAAAAAATTAACTTGCAAAAGCTCCTGAAGGTTGGGGCAAAGCAAGTTACCTTTTAGCATCTACATCCTGCACGTTACCCTGTGGGTTTTCATTTTCTTGTCCCCACACGAAAGAAGGGTGCTGTGTAGAGCTGCTACAAGTGAACTAAAAGAGCCAACAGCTTGGCATACGGAGAATAAGCCAGCCCCAAACGAAAACACGGGGATTTTAAGCGCGGGTCCGGAGGGGCCTGTTGGCACTGGCCCAATGCCTGCGCTAACCCTTGGGCGCTGCAGCGTGGAGCCCCGGGGTCTGCGGGCCCGACCGGCAAAAAGAGAGATGCGGCGCCCGGCGCCCACAGGGGGAGTGGGCTCTCCTCTGCAAGAAGGGAGACAGCCGGGAGGCACTTGGGTCGTCCGGCGCGTGCGCCACGGCTCGGGACAGGCATCGAGTCCGGTACGGAGCGGAGCCGAGGCGCGGCGAGGAGCTGCTCAAATGTCCGCTGACCAGTGGTCAGCCTTAACCTGTCCTCGCCAGGAGCGCTCGTCCTGGGCCACCCGCCATCGCCGCTCCTGGGCTCTGGAGGGGCGCAGGCCCGGGGTGGCTCGGGCGGGGCCCCAGGTGAAGGGCGTCCGCCTGCGGCAGCCCCCGTCCTCCTGTCTCCACGGTCGCGGGAGCGCCCGGCCCCGCGCCGAAACAGCAACTGTGATTGACGGAGTCACCGCCCCGCGCCCGAGCCACCCCCTCCTCCCCCGCCGCCCCCCTGCCCCGATACGTCATGGAAACACGGACGTCAGAGCGTCCCGGCCAATCGCAGGCAGCGGCAGGAGGAAAGGAGCGAGGGGGGGCGGGGGCAGCGGCGGGCCGAGGCGGTCGGGGAAGGAAGAGAGGGAGGGGCGTGCGGAGGCGCGGGGCCCCCGCCCTCACTCCGGCCACCCTTTCCCGACCGCGCCGCCGGGGCTAATCGCCGGGCGCGCGCTTGCCAGCCGGGAGCGCGCTCGCCGGGTCCTCCCCTTAAACGCCCTCTCCGCGCCGCCCGGCTCCCAGTCCCAGTCCGAGCCGCGCTTCCCCCGCGCGCGCGCGCCTGCCCGCCCCCAGCCTCCCCGCGGGCCGCGTCACGTGACTGCGCCCAGCCAAGGCGGCAGCAGCGGCGGCGCGAGCTTCGGCGGCGGCGGCGGCGGCGGCAGTGGCAGCGGGAGCAGCTGCGCCGCCAGCGTGGAGCGGGAGGCGTGTGGGTGTGGAGAGAAGGGAGCGCCGGACCGGAACGGGTGAGAGTCCTCCTCCCGCTGCCTGACCCGGCAATCTTGCGGGCCACCCGGTGCAAACGGGGCCCCTGCCCGGAGCTGTGCGCAGCCCCCTCGTGCTCGGCCGGCCGCTCGCCGGTGGCCGCGGGCCCCGCCCGAGCGGCCCGGGCAGCGGTGCTCACCGGGGGGCTGCCCCCCGCCCGCCGTTGCCGCTGCGGACGGCTGCGGGAGGCCCCGGAGCAGCCCGTGCGGAGCGCGGCGCGCCCAGTGTGCGGCTCTGCGGAGCCGAGGAGGCGGGTCCTGCGGGGACGCGGGCGGCCACTCGGCGGCTGCCGGGTTCTGGGCGGGGGCCGGGCCGGGCCGGGCGCCGCCTCCGCCGCCGCCTGCTCGCAGTGCAGCGTGAGTAGGGAGCCCCGGCTGGTGGACGCCGAGCCTCTCGGCTCCGCGGCCGCCTCCTCCTCGAGGTGCAGCCGCACCTCCGCGTGGTGCCCGGAGCCCCGCTAGCTGGCTGCCGCTGCGCCGAGGACCGAGTCCCCAGTCTCTGCGCTGCTCGCGGTCCCTCGCCGACCCCCCAACCCCCGACCCTCCAGCGGCTCCCCTTCCTTTCCCCCCTCGGAAAATGGTTTCTGCTGCCGCGCGAGGTGAGTGGCGGCCGCCGCCCGGCCGCGGCGGAGCAGGTCACCTGTGGGGGAGGTCGGGGCGGCGCGCGGGGGTCCTGACAGCCGGCTGCCCCGCGGACTGCGGCGGATTCGGGAGAAGTTGGCGGGGGCGTGCGGGGGGCCCCTCGCGGGCTGTGTCCTGCCGCGCCCGCAGATCGTAAAGGTGAGCGGGTTCCTCGGCGTGCACCTCTGCGCCGTGTCCGCCCGGGAGTCCCCGCCCAGGGCCCGAGGGACGGGGCTCGGGGGGGCTTCGCATCTACACCCGCAGCTCTTCTCCGAGCCGCGTCGGCCGCGCCGTAGTCCATCCCACCGCCGGCCGCCCCCGCCCCGGCGCGTGGTGACCTTGAGGGCAGCGGTGCCCGGCATTCTTTCCCCGCGCCCCGGGAGGGTCACCCGTCTAATCCCCGGCTTCAGCCCCGCTGGTGCTCCGCGGGCGGAGAGCGGGGGCCGCCGTCGTCCCCCGGCCGGGGCTGGTTGATGGATGCATGTCACACTGGACGGTGATTCCCCGGGAGTTGGAGAGCCGCCTCGCTTTTCTCTCCGCGTCTCCCGCCCGGTCCCCCAGGATGTTCACAGTTGCTTCCGATTCGCGTTTTTTGGAGTTAGTTTAAAAGAAAGAAAGAGAAAAAACCCTTGCGTCCTCCACCCTCTTTTTGGAAAGAGGCAGTGAGAAAGAACCGCATTCCAGCTGCCGGGGTTGGGGTGTGCTCCCTTTATTCCATCCTGCAGGAGAATCCCGTGGCTAAGCTAGTTAGCGACCCCTGGTTCTGCGCCGCGGTCACTGGCCAGGTTGGTCTCCGTGCGCATTTCATTCACCAGTTTTCTGCGGAACTCGCAGCGCTGATGGTGCTCGCAACCTGTGCGGTGCAGCGGTGCCTGGCGCCGAGGGGCGGGCAGGGGGTGCTAAGGGGGCGCTGAGGGGGTCTCTCAGTCTGCGCAGGGCTCGACCCTCCTCCGCAGGCGTATCATTACCTTTCTGGGCTTAGAGCGCAGCAGGCAGCCCCTTTGGCTGTTACGCATGCTACTTTTTTGGGTTTATTAATCTAATGGCTGTTGTTGGTATCGATTGCTGTTCCTGATAAATTAGTTAGATGGATTTTTTTTTCATATGTGTGTAGGTATATGCATATATTTGTGCTGTCAGCCTTTCATCATGGAAGCCTTTGTTGTGTTTAACCTCCCCCACCTGAACACAGTCTTACTTTAAAATAAAGCTCTTGTTCAGCGTGGGTGTATTTTATAATAAGAAGTACTTGTAAGGATCTGCTTTGTATGAGCTCTCCTCGGGCAGTGTGTGTGTAACCCTTTGGATGGTGGCCCACGTGAGTGAATGGAGGGCCTTCACCGTCTGCCCTGCTGCCAGCCTTCCCCAGACTCGCTGTCCTTGTGTGTGGCAGAGGCGGATTGGGGGAATTAAGAGGGATTGGAGGAGAATCTGCTTTTTGTACTTGTGCGTTCAATTTGGGTCCCCCTCCCCCCCTTTTATTCTTTTTCCTCCTGCTGAGTTCAAATATGAAGTAAATAGAAACATTTCCCTTAAAGGGAGCCTTTGAAAACTAGTATATGAAATGGGCTTATTTAGCCCTGATTTCAGGGGGACGTTTTAGTTTCTACCTTGCTTTGGATGAGACAGTTAAATTGCTGTAATTAAGGGTGGATCTCTGTCCTGATTTTGGCTTGGGTGTAACTGCAAAGATCTTTGAAAAGTAACTGTTATTTCCTACCATATAGTCTGCAAAAGTGAGTCACAATAGGGTGAATTGAGGACAGAGCGCCACCTTTACTTTAAAATTTCATGATTTTCTTTTATTAAAATCATGAAAATTCAGAGTACGCCTTGTTGATTTTTTATTGCAGTTGTTGTTACTGGCATCCCTATTTAGATGTACGAGGTGAAATTGTCTTCATTTTTCTGTATTCTGTAATTCCTCACTCTTTAGGGGGGATTTCTGCAATTGTATGGGAAATAATGATTTTTTAATTGAAGCTTGGGATTTAGTGTAGGATTCTGAGATGAGGTGAGAAAGCTGTTTACTTGTGTGCTTATAACAAGATAGTAGGGGTAATGATGGTCTCATCGACTTAGGTAAAGAAATAAGGGAAGTAATAGGTGCATTGTGAATAGATAGATATTTAACTCTAGCCATTGCCACCAAATAAGGGTACCTACCAGCCTGCTAGTGGTTTTACAATTTTCTTTTTTGCTTCTGTACTATTAACAGACTCTAAAGTAAACATGCACAATCTGTGAAATTATTAACCTTACTTGAATCAGGTATGGTAGTTCCTTTTTGTTTGTTTTTCATCTTCCAACAGCTTTCCTTTTATGGCTTGACTGAGAGTTTTACAATTACTTGTTTTTAAATAATACAAATGAGGACTTGGATCAGGAGTCTTTACATTCAAAGTTATGAAAGACTGTGTTGGAAAAAGTGGTTTCTATATATGGCTCCTCTCAAATGCATCTCATATAAAAATGAATGGGGTTTTTAATGCTTAGAAGACAAATGCTGTCATGACAGCTGAATTGGTGAGCTCCCCTTCCCTGCCCACTTGCTGTCTCCTGGCCCCCTCCCTCCCAAATCAACGATTTAAGGTACACTATCTCTTCAGGCACAGGATACTTTTTGGTTATTGTGACTGCAGGTGTAACATGAAAAAACAAAGATTTAGCTCCCACGTAATGAACAAATTGATGTGGATATTGCCAAATATACTTTTAAGTACAAACCACAAGATATTATTGCCCTTCTGTCTGCATTTAAGTTTTCATTGAGCGCTTGCAGTTTCTTCATTGACTACTGAAGTGTAAGCTATTGAGATATAGATAAGTTTTATTAAGTTAAACAGAAAATCTGCTTGAGATGTAAGGTGGTTTATGCTTTTTCAATCTGTGGAATATGGCCCCTGGTTAAAGGACATATTTGAGCAATTAGGTTGATGTATGCAGAGTAATTATACATTGTTATGCATAATTTGATAGAATCCTTGATATGAGGGTTAAATTTACTAATTTCCTTTGTCTGACAAACATGTTAACTTTATTTTGGATGAAACAGTCTCTTACTATGTTGAGTTGTATAGGTCAACAGGTTTTAAGAGGAATGGCCAATCCCAACTATGGGTGGTCTTTGGCAATACTAACAAGAGTATTTACCTTTTTTCCCTTAAGTTTCTTACACATAAATGCAGTTGAAACGGGTCATTTCACTTTTTAATTCTGAGATTTTGTAATGAATGAGCTAAAAAACAAAGGAGTAAAGATCAGGAAGCAGAAACGTATGAATTAAATTTTTGCAGCTCAGGTAAGAGCATTTACTTGCCTAGTTGGAAGGGAATAATTATTTTCTAGTAGGTTAGTAGGTGTCACGAGTTAGCTTATTTTGGAATATAGTATAGAATCTGAGGTAACATTGAAGGAAAATGATGCAGCAGTATGGGAATCGTTTTCAAAAAGATAACTTATAAAAGAGATTTATTTTTAAGCTTTTACAAATATTTTATATACACACACATATACATCGTTGTTTTGTTAAAATTTTTTATTATGGAAACTGTCAAACGTGAAAGGAGAGAGAATAACATACTTACTGACCAGTTTTGACATTATTAACTCGTGGCCTATCTAATTTTGTTTATATCTTTATGCAGGAAATGGATCTGTTATAAATAAGGACCAAGGATGGGTAATTGATTTGGATTCTTAGGTTTTATGTTTGTAATTTACGGAATATATACAAGAGCGTTCAATATCTAATTGAATCTGAAAGGTCCATTTTTATGTTCTCCGTTGTTTCTGTAAGTCTCTCTTACAGCAGGCACCCAGAGATAGTGTCTCAAATTGTACTCTTAATGATAATGCCTTTGATTTATAAAGTGCTTTACAGTATTTAGTATTTCAGAATGTATTGACATACTATCTCATTTGATTTGCACAGGAAATAATCCTGTGAAGTGAGTAAAGTAGATAGCTGTATCTTTTTTTAGGTAGGTAAAATGATTTGTCAGGGCCCTAAGGTCAGGTGGCTAGCAGCTATATTAGCCAGAACTGGACTCTAGGTGGCTTCTAGGTTTTGCTCCATTCCTCTTTCCGTTATACATGTTTATGTAAGTTTGTGAAAATTATGTAAGTTTATGAAAAATCAGTTTTTGTCCAGAGTAAATTTAATAGTTGCATATAAACTGATTTGCTTGGATTTAGCTTTATAAGTTTAATCATTGCTTATATTTGGTATAATGTAAACAGTTAACACCCTGATTTACTTAACAGCTGTGTAAATGAATCTGAACATATTTGAAATACTGTATTTTTAATAGTGTGGATTGGATTATTTTTAAGTTACAAATTTTGATGTCAAAGACCTG